AACCCAAATACTTTTACTCTCGATCTGGTACCTTGACAGATAAGTGATGTGTTATAGAATTAGGTTGTTGTTTTTTCTTTATTGCTTTTTTTTTTTTAGGGAAGAAAAGGATGAATCTCTTTAGAAATAATAATATAATTATAATATCTTTGATCTGTTTTATTCAATAATTGTTGGGACTTTAATATTTGTTGGCACTCTTACAGTCATTTTGTCACTTATGGTGCCATCATTTTCGAAGGTTGTCATTATTTTATTTTATTTTTCAGGAGTTTGGATTGGGATCCGGAAATGTCTCCCGTATTCACGACGCGAAGGGCTGGCCCTCGTTAATTGGAATTCCATCATCCGGATAACCCGTAAACTGACGAGGGAAGTGATTTCCTGGAAGTGAATGGTGTGTGGATTAACGGAATAATATGTGTCTGAGTGCTTTTAGAGCTGCAACCATATCTTTATCTTTTCCTTTATTTGTACATAAATGAATATAATTTGTGCTGCAAAAGAGAAAAGATCATTTGTTTCAAAGAGGAACTTCGATGTTGCTGAGTGCTTTTGGAGCAGCAAGCATAATCTCTATTCCTTTATTTTAACATAAATGAATATTTGTGCTGCAAAACAGAAAAGATCATTTATTTCAAAGAGGAACTTCGATATTATTGATATTATTTCAGTGGTGGATAATATTATTATTATAATGGCAGTGAGTTTAGTACCGTGAGGTCTACTGAGTGCTACAAGGCCTAATGGTGAGCTGTTCTCACGCTGCCGGACGGAGTTACCTGTTCCTAGGAATGTTCTCTCCTCACTGCTTCTGAACGTCTCGGAGACAGCGTCGGCGTGAACCTTCTGTTGCACCTTATCAAGTACAATTATTGTCGGGGAAAGCAAAGACAGGCGTATAAAGAACAATGAGAACATAAGCGACCAATCTTACCTCAAAAGAGTAAGAAGATTATTTGTACTATACAAAACACCAACACAAACAACCAGAAAGCAAGCCCCCCATTGAAGACAAAAACTACAGCTAGATCTATTGCAGAAGTATAAACTCACTGATTTAGGCAGTTCTTCCATCAACTCAACGAGCCGTCTTGCCTGTCCATGTGGGTGGATGGGCGTGTCGGCCCGTGTGAGCAGATCCGGTCGATGCGCGTGAGCTAAAGCTGTCAGACCTGACAGTTCATCGTCCACCCTCGCACCCTTCACTCACTCACTCACTCACTCACTCACTCACTCACTCACTCACTCACTCACTCACTGTATGATTGTGACTGCCACATCTCAGGGATCTCGTCCTTGTCTTAGGAAAGCGGACAACGACAACGTTACCACCGACACCGATACGAGGTACGACAACACGACACAAAGCAGCCTCCCGTGTCTCTTGACGTTGTCTGAAGACAGCAGACGTTACCACCGACAACGATACGCGTGTCGGGCCGACACAATACGCCACGACACGGTTTACCCTCATGTATTTCTTCACGCATAATAATATATGACCGACACATTCGATCCGACCCGGTCCCGAAATCCAACAACAAAACTCCCGAGATAGCCCGTATCGTTTGACTTTCGTGGAGCGTTCACGTCACAAAACGACACGTCAGGAAAATATAACGACGCCACGCCTGGACACGAAACGACACGTCAGGAAAATATAACGACCTCACGACACGAAACGACACGAAACGTCTGGAAAATATAACGACGTCACGACACGAAACGACACGTCAGGAAAATACAACGTCACGTCACGATCCGAAACGACACGTCAGGAAAATATAACGACGTCACGTCACGAAACGTCACATCACGTCAGGAAAATATAACGACGTCACGACACGAAACGTCACATCACGTCTCGGCACGTCAGGAAAATATAACGTCACGTCACGCCACGCCACGCCACATAACAGCCTGTGTCCGTTGACCGCACCGCAGTGTCCGGAGGTACTATTACTCCAGGAGTCATCTGCTAAATAACACCCTCCCCCCCACTTCATCCCCCCCCCCCCCCCCCCCACACACACACTTTCCTCCCCCAAAGGTCACTTCCCCGTTACTTCATACACACAAGCCAAACCTTACGACAGACCTGGAGTCGTATAATATACAGCAATTATCCGCCTCCTCAATTAGTCGCACTGACTGGACTACCATAGGCGTCATGACCCGTGGATAGGTCACATAAGGCCATAGGCGCTCTCTGAACAGTTGTCTGAAATGGTGAGTGATTTCTTGTGCACTGTGATCGTTCCTTTTGTCTGTCTTTGGTCCACCCGGGCAAAGTTATAAATTTTCTACCAACTGAAAATGTTAAGTGTGTCCCACGCGCTCATATGACCTTATGTAAAATACTCACCAAAGCAAACATGTCTTTGGTCGTGGGTGTTTGGCGGGCGCTCTGGGGTGGTTTGCTCTTTCTTTCTTATCAAACATCTATCGTTTTTAACTGCCCTCCTCCTTTTCTTTGCACGTGACTCTCTAGTAGCACCTCGCTAATCTTCGGCACTTCCATTACCTATTTGTATTGCAAGTGCCATAAAATCTTACTGAAACGAAACTAATAGCTGTATTAGGCCAAATGTGTTGTCAACGTAAGCATTTTAGCCATTATTAATTACATCATCATCATCATCATCATCATCATCATCATCATCATCATCATCATCATCATCATCATCATCATCATCATCATTGTAGGTAGCAGGGATTTTAAAAAGGGGTTGAGACTTAGTAGAACAAGTTCAACGTTTCACCCTGTAAAGGGCTTCGTGAGGAACATCATCATCATTGGTGAAATTTTAACGTTGTATCCCTCCTCCTCCTCCTCCTCCTCCTCCTCCTCCTCCTGATACAAGGAGTGTGAATTAGCCGCCATTAGTTGTAAAGGTGCGCTCCATCTATGCCAAGGCATTTTAATCGTTAGCTCTAATGTCTCAGGTGGAAATTGACTTGGTTGACGTGTGGTGTCTGACGCTTGTCTTCCTTGCTCTAGTCTCTGGGCCTGTTGCTTGATCTCACAGGAAATGAGGTCTGCGGCTATATAATATAACATATCTTTTAATAATAATAATGATAATAATAATAATAATAATAATGATAATAATA